TTTCTCCCCAGGGCTGGGGGGAACCCCCCGGTGGGGCCCCTGGGGGCCCGGGGGGGGGGGGGGGGGGGCACATGCCCCACAAATCTGTGTGCACGGCTTCATGGAGGTGGGCTGCCCACTGCCGGTCCCCAGCAGCTACACAACACTGCATGCCTCCTGTGCGCTGGCTGCGCTGAGGCCCCTGCCCACCCATCGATGGGAGGCATGTGGCATCGTGCAATTGTCAGGGCACCGGCAGCTGGGCACAGAGCCACAGCCCACAGTGGCAGCCCTCCTCCCTGTGCACAGATTCAGGGGGCACATGCCCCTTTTGCCTGCCCCAGGGGTGCACACAGTGGCAGGAGCCCCCTGCGCCTCTGGCCAAGCTGCTCAGGCTCCAACCCTACCACAACCTGCCCTGGGTCCCTGTTCACCCCAGCCCCTGCCCCACTCCTTCCCTCACTGCAGGGGCCTCAGTCTGCCCCACCACTCCCCTTCCCGACTACATACTTACCTGCTGGGCACTGGTCCACACACAGCAAGGCCAGGCTGAGTTCCTGGACGCCTGCAGGCTCCAGCTGCTCATTTGTGTCTGTGCATATCCCTCCCTGCCTGCTGCAGCCACCCAGAGCCTGCACCCAGCCTGCCCTATAGTGCTCTATGCTGCCACCACTGCCCCACGTTTTGTGGGGGAAGGGGTGGGGGTGGGGGGAAAGAGTCTAAGCTCCATTAGCCCTGGCTTTCTGTTGCCTATGCCTCTTAGGGAGTCTGGATGATCTGTCACGGGCTGGGTCAGCACCCTGCACCACAGCTCACCAAAACTCCCCAAGTGGCCCTCCAGACCAACCCCAGACAGAGAGAACAAAAGGTTCAAGGAGAAAACTCCCTGCACCCCCTCCCACACCCCAAGTCCCCAGTACATGGCTGGGCCAGTGCTGCACTGTCTTCCCTACCAGGCCCTGACCCAGCAAAGCTTGGATAATCTGTGGCTCCTGGCCCTCTTCCCCATGAACCCCTTCCTCTGCCAGCACAGAGAACCTTACCTGAGCTTCGACTCACTGGGCACAGGAGCAGAGCGGTGCACAGACAGCCTTGCCAGGTAAAAGCCTAGCCAGAAGCGCCCCCTGCCTTGGAGCATACACTGGCAGCTGGGGGTGGGACAGGGTGGGCCAACTGGGAAGGGGGCCTGCTGCTGCACCTGGCTGGCATGGGGAAAAGGAGAAAGGCAAGAGGCACTGGAAGCCTGGACAGCTGTGGGCCAGATGCAATTCTCCTTCAGAGAAGCAGCCACAGGCCACGTAAAATAATCTGGTGAGCTGTATAAAATAATCTGGTTTACAGGCTCTATTTTGTCCACCCCTGCTCTACAGAGAAGCTAACATACAGTTTGGGGGACATTCTTTTACTGTTCTACTACAATAAAGAACAGAATGGTCCTTTATTATGGAAAATGCTCACCTTGAACTGAGTAGGCGCATTGAGTTCACACTGAATTGTGTCTAACTGTACACGAAGCTGTTCCTCATCAGCCTGAATGGCATAGCCACTTTTCCTCTGTATCTCTTGCTTAATTAATACCTACAAAAGGAACCACTGAAGTTAGAGGTTTGGAATGATTATCTTACCTAAAATTCCTGCTATGTACACAAACTCAGAGGCTTTAACCATGAGGGCTGCTGCATCTTAGACACTATAAAAAAAATCTTTAAAGCATAAAAGACACAGAATATTGTCCTCTGCATTTGCTATCTACACTTGCTTCTGGAACCTAACACTAACCTATTTCTTGGACTCAGAAAACAATTTTTCTGTATCTAAAATCCCTATGTTCTTCCATTTCCCACCACTGTATCTCATGCAAAACCTTTCACCTCCAATTCATTTTGCCCTCATTCCTGCTGCCCCTGAAATATAGAACCATTTGCCCTTTTTGCATCCAGACATCTCCTCTTGACTCTTCCAAAACTTCCTCCTTCTGTCCCTCAATAATTGCCCCATCTTCCTTCTTTGATGGTGATCCTATCTCTTGCATTGTGTTTATTTTAAATGGCAAGCTATTTAGAGCCATTTAGACCATATTTTACCCAAGTTTACAGAGTGCCCATACAGAAGTCTCAAAGCAAGCTGCTGAAATATTGAATAAAATGCAGCACATATTACGTGAACTATCTTCATCTGAGATCAAGCTTTTTGACATAACAGAAATGAATTCCAAACAGCTAATTAACACAAGCATAACAGAATAATAATCCTATTACCAGTCAACAAACTTCTTAATCATAGTAATCAGAAGCGGGAAAAACACTTTTTCTATAATTCAGTTTAATTTAGGAAGCACATAGTGCAGTCAAATGTATTAATTACAATGTCTAGGGAAATATAAGAAGTCGCCAAAAGTGGAAAGAGGAGTCAGGAGTGAATACAGCACCTGAAATTCCTTTTCTAACTCAATCGTTAAATGACTCAACACCATGGGATTATTTTCCCACTGGAAGAGTCAGGTTTCCCAACAGGTCTCTGCAAGCTAGTCTATCTACTCATGCTAAATAATTAAAAAAAACTGTAAAATGAAGTAAATTAAAAATAAACAGATCCTCTCTATTTTTCCATGTCTATGGACCACATATCAGATCATTTAAGTGTTACCTGTAAGGTTCTGTGAGAAAGATCCATTAGTTTCCTCTTGTACTGTGCTATTTTTGCCATAGTTGTGGTCTGATTTTTCTGTAGCTCACTAATATCTTCTGATATTATCTAAAAAGAAAAACACTCTTCCAGCTGGAGGCCACAAGACTTTCTTACTTGCGAGGGAAGTGAATGAGCAGAACTCGTGTGTTTCATGCCATTAAGAGATTCAAAGCAACTGTTAGTCCAAAAGATGCAGAGCAATATTTAAAAAATACCTACAGAAGCCATGACAATCCATGTAATAATGCTACTACAGTCCCTTTCACAAGTCTATTGAAGCTAAATCCTAGGCTTTTACTTGAACCACTGTCAGTTTGTTCTGCGTGCATTTTTTTTTAATGATTAAAAGTTACAAATCTCTTCTATGCGGGAAGGATACGAGTGCAGCTGAGGAGCCCCATTCTTTCTGGTTCCTTTAGTTCCTTTCCTGCATTCTTGTATTTTCTCCCTCACTAAAGTCTCACCTCAGATGCTTACTCCAAACTTATCACCATGATCATCACCATGGTATATTAGGATCTCTTAACAGTCCTGAAATAAAGAGAGTAGCGGCTAGTCAGGCCAGGATTTAAAAAAGGGACATAGGGAAATCAGGCACCATACTCCATAAAAGTCTAGAGGCAACCAATTCTTGTACCCTCCTTTGAAAATCTGTATTTGAACACAGACATTAAACTTTACCAGATAGCTGATAATTTTGTTCTCTCTCTCTTTTTATGAAAAATAAACTTTGGGAAAAAGAAAGTCACATAAAAAATAACAAACAATAGTATATATCTGAACATTAAATGAAAGCATAGGGACCATCTCATAGGCTTTCAGGTCTAACATATAAGTAGAGTATGCCTCTGATTAGGAAAGTCCTAACAGCTTCTGTAAGGACAGGCTTATGTACTTCTGGTCTACAGTGAGAAAAAGAAAAAAGTTATGCTGTCTCTTGATAGGCATCAGTAAATAAAGCAGCAGCAGCTTCTATTACATACCCTAATCACTATTTCTAAAAGCAAAAAAGCATGATTGCATAAATCAAGCTCACATGCTTCTCTACATTTTAAAGTGCGAGCCATTTTGAATTACTGAGACACATCCATGCTTTCAGTGTTCCTTTCTTATAATTGGTAGCCTGAGAACTCAGATATTTCTAGTGCTACATCTAATAAATAAATAAAGCAAGAAGCAAATGTTTAGGACTAAGCACAAAAAATACCACTTACATCTAATCTGGTTTGATGCTGTTTAGTCATTTGATCTTGGACCTTCAATCTTCTCAGCAGTTCTTTGAAACCCACCATGGGCACAGGAATAAGTCTGCAAGAATAAAAAAACCTGTTACAACTCAGAAGACTTATAGGAACATTCAATTTAAACAAATCACTCCTGAATTACAGGTGAACTTAAGTGGTTACAAAGAGAGTCACTTAATTAGCAATATCACATTCAGAACTATTCACCTTTTATACCAGGGATGGGCAAAATATGGCTCATAGGTCGGATCCAGCCTAAGAGATTTTGTCCAGCCCACAGCTGGTCCCTCAGCCCAGCCCAGGTGCAGACGGCTGGTCCTGCCACTCTTGACTGTGCAGCAGGGCTGGGCGGCATGGCGATGCAACTCATTTCCTGGCAATCCTGGCAGCAGCAACTCCTTCCAGCTGCCACCACCACTAGATCCATCCCCACTCCCTAGGCACTCTGGACCATCTGCCCCGCACACACACCACCAAAGGTGGGGCCTATGTGGGCAGGGCATGTGACCAGGTGGATTGGATTGGGCTGCAGGCAGACATAAACTGATGTCCAGGAGTGGGACAGATGGGTAGGCAGGGCCAGAATTGTGGGGTGGTGACAGTCCAGGGCCACAGCCATGGTCCACTGCCTGTATGTCCCTTCAACAGGCACCGGCTCCACAGGCAGGGATCATGGCTCTGCCCCAGGCCCTGGCCCCACACCGTCACCATCCCAAAATCCCAGCCCTGGTTTCGCCCACCCACAGTTCCACCACATCTGCCTGACTGGGTGCCCTTCCTGCATGGGTCCCAGCTGATCTCCATGAAAACCCCGGGACCGCAGGGTGGTGACAGCGTGGGGCCAGGACCCTGGGTAAAGCCGCAATCTGCTCCCTGCACGCCCCTACCTTAGAACTGGTGCATGTCACAGGGGCATACAAAGCAGATCATAGCTCTACCCCAGGCCTGGGTCCAGGCCCCATGATCCTAGCCCTGGCCCCACATGCCTGTCCCAGTCCTGGATGCTGCTCCCTTGCCTGTCCATGGCCCCATTCCTTCTGCCCAGCTGCACATGGAGCAGAGTCACTTGGGGAGTTTTGGTGAGACGTTGTGGGGAACAGGAGGGAGAATGCTGACCAAGTCCGCAACAGCTCACTAAAACTCCTTAAAGGGCCCTCGGGCCCAAATAATTGCCCACCCTTGTTTTATACCAGTTATTAAGAAGGCACTGCTGACCCCAAAATCAAAGTTCTTAATGAAGTCATTAATGAAGTTCAGTTACTGTATGCCACCACAACTCTAATACACTCTAGGACAAGGGTGTCAAGCTTAACCACGACCCCAGGCCAGGTCCAGACCATGGGCGTCCTTGCAGGCTGGATGTAGATCTGGCAGCAGTGGCAAGATGAGCAGCAGTGGTGCAGGAATTAACACAACCATCCCACATTTATCTTTCCCCTTCCCCCTCCACCACCAACATGCACCCTGAACACAGTTCTGTAACTGGGAATTCAGCAGTGGGCCCCGTCTCCAAAGTTTTGACTCTTCTAGGAGCCCCATGGGTCATATGAAAATGGCTCCACACAATAGATCTGGTCTGTGGATTACCCCTGCTCTAAAGCTAGAGTTTTGCAATCATTTACTGCCTGTAAGTAAGAATCCAAAGACTTTTGACTCTAATATCACAATCTTCTGTTACCACAACAATACAAGTGTCTATTAACTTTAAGAGTACTGCCTAGACTGTGCATGTGTACTATGTCCTGACTCAACACCATCTCTATGCATTACTCCAACTGAGCTGATTACAGGACAGAAGAGAAAATTGAACTAGTTACCAAGGAGGATGAATTAGCTTCTCCTGGATCCTAGAAGATTTTTCCCTACTTGTCATTTTTGTGAGGAGGTCTTGGCTTCAACTTTGTCCATCATCTCCTTGCTTACCTAGCTTAGAATTATGATCTCCACACTGCACAAATGTACCTCCTATGCCAGTGGTGACAAACAGCCTGTAGGCTGGATCTGGGCTGTGGAGCTTTGTAATCCATCCTGTGGGTCACTGGACCAGCCTCAGCTCTACATACTGCATGTAGCATGCAGGCTGGACACAATACTATGTGTGCTGCAGGCAGCACAGCAGGTTGGGTCCAGGGCATCCTAAGCACCCTGTGCCCTGGACCCCTGTGCAGTGCTGGGTCCAGTCTGTGGTGTTATGGGCTGCACATGCCCCAAGCCAGGCCCAGAGCCTGGCGTGTATACAGCAAGTCCAGGGGCTGGCTGGTTCAATATGCAGTTCACAGGACTGGGCTGCCCACACAAGCTGCATATGGTATGAGGAGTTGACAATGGGACACATGGCTCCATGTAGTGCTCTGCTGGATCCAAAGCGAGTGCACAGGGCCAGTCAGCAGGGCATCACACAGAGTGTGTTCCCCATGCCATATGCATGGCCAAACCAGCTGTGCATGCCCTGTACTGAACTAGCCAGCCCCAGGGGTCACTGAACGTGTGCTTGACTCTCAGGTCAGCAGAGGGTGTGCACTATCAGCAATGCATAGGTTGGACTCAGCACTTCATGTGATACAGGGGGTCAGGAAAGCAGGCTGTATGCAGTGCCCTGGATCAATGTCCACATGCTGCCTGCAGCACTGGGTCTAGTTTGCATGGTACAGACAGCATATGACATTTCCAGACCCTGGGGCTGGTCCATGAAGGACCCAATTCGATGGGTTCTCTGCAACTGTTCTGTCCTGGTTTGGCCCACAGACTGGTCCAGGTATGCTCATCTGCCCTGCAGGGATGGATGAGTGATACCCACCCTATGCTGTCTCCTAAAGTTGCCTATAAGATACTTTAGAAACCTTTCAAATGTCCCACACTCTCTTCTTGAGTCTTTACTGTAATGCTAAAATAGTAACAGCACAGCCACAACTAATAAATAAATAAATAAAAATAAATAAATAAATAAAAATATACCAGCAGACTCACTTTTCAGGATCAGGATTATCCACTTTGGCTTGTTCCCAAATAATAGGATCAACACCTACAAAAAAAAATTGTTTTTTCAGTAAGGACAAATCTCCACGTTATCATCCACAGCATAAAAAAAAACATAGCAGAAGCAACCCTATTTGCTATGGTAAACTGATAACAAATTGAAGAATAAATTGGTTATAGAATCATGGTCCCAAATCTTGTGGGAATACTGAGACCAGATTAACAGTTTTAAGCATCTTACTCAAATAAAGCAGAAAAGAGAAAAGAGTGATTAACAAATGCTTTGGGAGTATGTCTTAATGCTTAGGATTCTACCAAAATCTTGTCAAAAACAATATAAAAATTGATACAAGCAAGAATTTCCTGAGCTAAACCATTTAAACAACCCAGGGAAGTACGTGTCACTGTCAACAACAGGAAAACAAAGGAACTGGACTGAAGTCATACAGCACGATTGCTATCCATCATAATTAGCACTTAATATTATCTATCCCAGAGTGTGTGTTCAGGTGCACACATTACATATATTCCTTCTGAGAAAATGAAGCCTAAAAGTAAGGTAAGAGTATGCTTTATTTTCATAGTAGGTAGGGTCGGAAGGGACCTGAGCAGATCATCAAGTCCGACCCCCTGCCATGGCAGAAAAGAGTACTGGGGTCAAACAACCCCTGCAAGGCGTTCATCCAGCCTCCTTTTAAAGACCCCCAGGGTAGGAGCCGGCACCACTTCTCTTGGAAGTTGGTTCCAGATCCTAGCCACCCTGACATTTCGGTTTGTTTGGGTTTTATTTTTTGCTATAGCAGCAGCAGCACCCTAGGTGTTCCAATTAGGACCATTTAAGATAGGCATTTGTCAGTGATTCTCAACTAAGGCACCATAGCACCTAGGGACTTTGGAGATCCTTCCAGTGGCACCTTGGAGTGCTAGACAAAGTTAACACTATTAGGTCTGCAAGCATGATTCACAAAATAAAGCCAGATATTTCAAACAGAAATCCACAGTTATGCTCTGAATTCTCTGCAACAGAAAAACTACTTTATTTTTTTTCCTGTAGTTAAAAAAAAAATTAAAAAAAAAATTGTGAAACTTAAGAGCTGGAATTTTCTGAGGGGCACCTCAAGTCTAAAAAGGTTGAGGACTCTGGTTTAAATCTTTATTGGGGCCACTTAAAAGTTAAGCAGAAGAGGAGAGAGCACTACTTAAAAATAAAACAAATCAAGAATGATGACAAGCAGTAGCCACAATACCCCACCTCCCTAACTCACAAACAAGTATCTTAAAGTTTCAGCAAATAAGGTAGCTTTGTGGATGTCTATGAAAGTCTCCTTTTAAGCACTGGAGATGGCAGAGAAGAAAGCATGAAAATAATTTTCAGATAAATTTGGCTAGCAGACACTTAAGACTAGCATCACTGTAAAAAGATGCAGGGTCTGATGTTTCAATAATATGAAAGCATGACTAGTAAAGGAGCTAGTCCAAATTTTCACTGAAAAAACTGAAGTGTACTTACCAAGAATCATAGCAAATGATCACTAATGAGCTAATAATCACAAGTCATTTACAGTCAAGCAAGCTATGTCAATTCATAAATACTAAAACATCCTCAGGTAACATAAGATGCTTCATAACAGGGGTGGCCAACCTGTGGCACAACAGGGAAGGGAGCAGAGCAGCAGCTGGGCAGGGGACAGGGATCATACTAGCATTCAGAAAGGGTTTGGGGCTTAATTTATGGCATGCCTACCGAAAAGGTTGGCCCCCACTGCTTTACAACTTCAGAGAATTAAGAATAGCAAGCAATTGCTCAAGGTACACTAATCAGTAAAGAAGTTTTAAAAACTTAAAAATGTATCCCAATGCTCAGAATATATGTAGCTTAAAACAAGAAAACTGAATTACAGATTGTTAACAGTATGGCTTACAGTAGTGTGTAACCCCTTACTGTTGAGTTCTATATTTAGAAACTTTACATCAATCAGACAATATAAAGCAGGGGCAGGCAATTATTTCAGGCAGAGGGCCACTTACTGAGTTTCAGCAAGCCATCAAGGGTTGCATGACAGGCAGCCAGGGGCAGACATATATTAATTTTCTAAATGTTTAGGGGCCCCGCAGGCTGGATAGAATGGCCTGGCAGACCGCCTCCGGCCCGTGGCCCGCATTTTGCCCACCCCTGCTATAAAGTTATACTTTGGTAAGAGTATTAACAACATTTGCAATAGAGATGCTAGTGTGCAATATACCCAGTAAAACTACAAATGACACTTAAGCTAAAAAGTACACTCAGGTCCATCCTCCAAGTCATTCATAAGATACCAACCAGGGCTGGACTTAGGACAGATGCCTGGAAGACCCCATTTGATGCCTTCTTCCAATTAGACACTGAGCCATTGATGACTATTCTTTCAACACTATGATCTCATCAGTTACATACCCACTTTTAGTAGTTTCATGCAGTTTACAAGCTAGTTAGGTACACCATTAATTTAGTGCCACAGTACATACCAGCAGGAGCATTCTGTAAAAGCTGTTTGATTTGTGCAGGAGAAAGTTCTGTTCTTGCCATGGACATGGTGACGCCCAGCTGCTGTAGTGACGTCTTTATGTTAGCTTGCTCAAAATGAGCATACAAGGTTGTTGCTGGAACTCTTCTGGAAGTGCCATTGGGTGACCGCTCAACAACATAAATGATGACTTCAGTCCTGAACAGGAAAATGTAAATAAGCCATAGGATACCAATATCCCTATTTAATGGCTTACTGAAATCAGATAAATTAAAATTACAGGCCTGGGACAACATCACAATCAGGAGGAGAAAATTTTGATTTAATTTCTAGTGTCTTCAAGTCAATTACGAAAAAAAATATACATAGCAGAATAGATTACTTACCGACAACTACAATGACTAGGACATGGCACTCAGAATTACAAATATTCAATGTAGCTTTAAATACTGGTTTACTATAAATGAATGAAGCTACGTAGCTTTTAAGAGGATCTACACACTATGTTTTTCACTGCACATTAAAACTAGCAGCAGCAAGGGAAAATGCAAAGGACATCCTGCAGGTATCTATTTGATCTATGTCAACCCAGCTCAAGCTTGGTCATTGGGGAAAAGATGCAGATGTTATAGTACTTGTCTTTTCAATATATTGAGTTATCCATTATGTTAGGATGAAATCAGAATGTGTGTGGAAGGTAATAACAACAGTCACAACGTGTTACAAATATTTGAGAGAGAGCTGTAAAAACAAAACAAAACAAAAAACAAAACAGACAAACATACGTACTGTCATGAAGTAACCTGGCACCAAACGCACCGAACTAGTTTGTTAGGCAACAACAAGCAAAACAGTCTTCTAGGTTGATGCGCTATAAAAGATGTGTCAATGTGCATCCAAATACCAATCTACCTTAATCACCTGACAGGTAAATCTTTCTTGTTGTTTAAATATTCAGCATATTTATCCTATTCACAGTAACCAATAAGCACAGTCCCAATTTTTCCTGTGCTGAACAGCAGGGGTGGGGAATAATTTATTCCCAGAACTTTGATTTTGGTGACACAGACAAGGAAGATGCAGTAGATTTAATATGTTATCCAAAATAATGGGGGAAAAGGAAATCACTATTTGGGTGGAACAAATGATAAACCTATAGGGGAAAAATAGGTCCTGCCTAAGAATACAAATGACACTGCTTAGAGAAATTACACACAAAATTTTCAGCACATATTTGAGTATTCCTTTAAGAATCTAGTGAAAAGATTCAGTGGAGCAAGATGTGGCACTGAAGCAGACTGACTTTTAAAGGGGCAACGTTTTACATCAGCAGAGAAGAACAAAGATCAAGAAATGGCCAAACTTGCACGTTAAAGAAATATTCACATACTGGTCATCTGGCATTGTTCTAACACCTTCTACATTAACACTGAGGGTCTGGTTTCCTCCCAATATTTTGTGCAGAGATTCCACTAGCTGCTGCTGTTGGCTTCGGATGTCTGTCTCTTTCCTATTGAAGACCAAGACCACTAGCCCATCTTCATCCTTATTGTTGGGCATGCAACTATAGCCCACAGCCTGTAGCACAAAAAAAGAAAACAAAACAAAAAACACACCATGGATATCATTAAAAGTTCTAGTGAAAAAGGGACAGACCACTATACAAAGGCAAGGCTAGAAGATCAAGTTGTAGAACCTGAACCCTGAAAGATTACATTCTTTCAGGCATGTTTCAAACTAATTCTAAGTACAACCAAAGTACACACACAGTATTAATAATTTTATAAAACACTAGTCACACTGCCATTTTTTAAAAAGCACACTCAAAGTTATCAATAAATGGTTTGAGATTTGTTTGGTTGGTTTTTTTTAAAGGTAACTTGGAGAAATGTCTATTCTCAGTCTTCCAAAAATTTTCTACTATTGGGGAGATTCTATTTTGTTCCAACTTTTTTTTTTTGCATTTTAGATCCAAGTTGAATCGAACAACAAAATATTATACAACTGTGAAACGAAAATGTGACAGCAGAAATGAGTTTTGAGTTAATTATCAAATACCCAATATAAACATTGAAAAGAGAAAAAATGAGTTAAAATGTAAAATGATAATTGCAGTTATCATAAGGAACTTCCTACCTTCCTACCCTAGATCAAGACAAAATATTGGAAGATAAGGTATGCACACTGTGTACTTGTACAAGGTGTAAGCTTTGAAGATTAGTTACTGGGAACTCTAATATATACAAGAGAGCCAGTTTTCCCTCTCAACATAAAGTGTCAGCATTTTAATGTAGGCTTCTAAACAGCTTCTAAATAGGAAAACTCCAAACTTCTTAATTTTCTTTAAAAATTCATCTTTATTCTTTTTGTGATAAGCTTCCAGTTAGAAATAGAATCTTGAACTGCTGATGATACAAAGAACAGATGGGACGCAACAGTGATTATTTGTTATTTAAGTGATGTACAGGAAAAATTTAAACAGGATTCTCATAATGTTGTGGTTGATGCAATGGAGAACAACTTGATGTTACGCTGGGTCTGAAAAGAAATTATATTTTTCCAGTCTGAAAATTATCTTTAAAAGTCTCTGTGTTAGAATTTATGTGATAAGGCACTCAAATTCATTTCTCAAAGATCAGTTCCCCTTGGACATTAAAAACCCAACTTAATAACACTAACTTAGAAAAACTCTGCCAGTCATTACTCATTTGCACGTTTGCAATCCTTAAGTGATACCCTGATTTCTGAGCACTTAAAGTTTCATCTGTTATGCACAGGAAATAGCCCAAGTGTTTTAGTTACTAACAGTGAGTTTGTAACAAAACTAATTCCCATTACAAATTAAGTCTTAATGACAGCCAATAGCTTAGTTGTTTTCAACCCATTTACACTGAGAAAGGCAACAGAAATGTCATACCTTAAATCTGCAAAAGGGATTTTCCTGTGTGAAGTCCACTGGAGCGATGTTGTTGTTAAAGTATCCTTTTCCTGTCCCCCAAAAAGCCTGCAGCTGGTTCCACTTTGCCAAAATCGCATCTCGCTCATCTCCCAAGAGCGTAGGGGCTGAAAGAGCACTGGCAGTATTTATCAGCTGGTTAGACTGGGAAGGTGCCTGAGTAGGCTGACTGTACAAGACACCTAATGCTGTATCAGACAGACAGAAAAAGACAAAAGTTCTTTAGAAGAAAAGGCAGATTAACTTGCTAATGCATCTCACAAAGCATTAACAGCAACATTGTCTTTGCTGTTATCTGAATTATTGTTATTTTGGGGGACACCACAATCTTTGGGTGTAAATAAAGCAGTCCCAAGTTTTTTTAAATGATTTTTCACCTTCCATTACATATGGAAGATGACAAACTGGCCACATCCATGACACTGAGACCTAACTGGCTCTTCAACTTATCACTAGCCACATCTCAGAAAACAATAGTTAAGAGGTTGTGATGGTGTTTTTGATTACTGCAAGCATCTGCATAAATTCAGTGAACAACAAAGATGCTTACCACTTTTACGGTGTCGTCTTTCTGTTGAAATGTGAAAATTTTAACTAATGTGCAGTAGAGTTCTTCTGTCTAAACTTTTGCCACAATTCATACAGAGCTGTATGCATTTTACAGCTCTCTGATAGTTTTGATTAGCTCAGGATGCAAAGCAAGTGCCATTAGCATGGATATTCAATAATAGAAAGCAACACCTTTTCTGAAGAGGGGGTCTATATCTACCCAGTTCACAACATTCTTGGATGCTTCAAAAAATCTGATAGGTAACTTGTGATTGTAAAAAACCACAACAAAACAGTCAGCAAAGTCTGAATCTGTTCAGATCTTGACTTTTCCACAAAAGACATTTGTCAATATTTCCTTCCTCATATAAATTCTGGCAAGATTCTCACTAACAATACTGAAACAAAGAAAGGACCTGAACTATATGTGGTATTTTCAAGGATGTAGCACTACTATCCATGAGGATTCCGGGAACAGAACTGCAAAGTTATGCATGACATAATTCTGGTTGTTTGTGTGCATTTTAGGAATGTAAATAACAATTTAATAATATATCTGTTTAACCTGTTTTAATTACAAAGGTTAATCATTACGGCAACCCCAGTGCAGGTGGTCAGGAGGGAGGGCAAAGCGAGGAGGGGAGGTGGGAGAGGGGACTAGTATCTAATACAGGGGTTGGCAAAATATGGCCTGCAGGCTGGAACTGGCCCACCAAGGGATTTTGTCTGGTCCACAGTAGGTCCCTCAGCCCTCCCTGGCCCAGGCACAGGGTGGGGAAAGGGGGGGGTTTAGGAGGCAGCCCAGGCCATGATATGTGCAGCCAGTCCCACTGCCCCCCAGGTGTGCAGCAGGGCTGGGGCAGCATGGCAGCCAGACTGCACTTCACAGTAGCCTCAGCAGCTGTCACAGCTACTGGACCTGGCCCCAGCACCACTGCCCAGGCATCCCAGTTCGTCTGACCTGCATACACTACCAGGGTGAGACCCTCACAGGCAGGGTGCAGCACCCAGAAGCAGGACAGGTGGACGGGGCCAGGGCTGGGAATGCAGGGTAGTGAGAATGCGGGGCCATGATAGCACAGAGTTGGGTCCTGGGGCAGAGCCACAGTCCACTACGATGGGTGCCAGTTCCACAAGCAGGGGCATACAGGGAGCAGATTGCAGCTGTGCCCCAGCCCCTGACTTAGCGCCGTCACCACCCCAAGATCCCAGGGTCTCCATGAAGACTGGATGGGCCCATGTGGGCAGGGCATATGGCCAGACATAAGATGGGGCCACAGGGTGAGGTGGGGAGCTACATTTTAAGAGCAGGGCAGGCAGGACCAGGGCAGAGCCACAATCAACTCCCTGCTCATCCCTGCCCACAAAACCAGTACCCATCATAGGGGCATGTGGACAGTGGATCATGGCCCTGACCCAGCACTGTCACTACTCCAAGATCCCAGACCTGGCCCCACTCACGTATCCTATTCCCAGATGCAGCTCCCCATCCACCTGTGACCCCATCCCATCCATGTGCCTTGCCTGCGCAGGTCCCAACTGGTGTCTAAGACCTTGGGATTGTTGGGCCACAATAGCATGGGGCCAGGGCCCTGGGCAGAGCTGTGATCTGCTTCCCACATGGCTCCTGCCCATTGAACCAGCACCCATTGGGTCCCCCACACTGTCACAGCCACACAATCCAAGCCCTGGCCCACTCCACTTCTGGATGCTGCTCCTGACCTCTCACAGCCCCATCCCAGCTGCTCATCCCAGCACGGAGAAGAGCCACTTAGGGAGTTTTGGTGAGCTACTTCATGGGGGGGACAGACAAAGCATAGGTGTGCTGACCCAGCCCATGACAGCTCACCAAAACTGCCTAAATGGTCCTTGGACCCAAATAATTGCCCACTCTGTTAAAGTCTGCAGACCTCAGTGCAGCCAGTTGCAGCATCCCCACTGCCTGCCTTAAGCAGCCCATGCTCTGTGGTGGGCAGCAGGGGCCTGCCCAGAGCCTGGGCTGCCATGGCAAGTAGCAGGGAGGCTGCAAGTGGCTGCACTGGGGTCCATGGAGCCTAGCTAGAGATTCTAATCCCCACTCCGTCTCGCCCTCCCCTCCTCCTTCCCTGCCATCTTCTGGTTCCTTCTGGGGCACCACGTGGTTTCTCTTCCCTGCCAGACTGTGCCCCCTCCCCTGCTAATTGATAACTGGTATGCTGTAACTGGTTATCATCGGGCTTATCGGTTAAACAATTAGTTGTTTGACTATTCACATCCCTAGTGTATTCACACCTAAAACTCCTTTGTGGCAGCAGAACCTTTATTTTTTTTGCCAACATCTACACCACTCCTGTCAAGCAGAATAAAGTTTCTTCTGTCACCTGAAAACCAGAAGAAGGTATGTGTAGATACTCCTGCCAGCTGTAGTCTCAATAGAGGGTGCCTTCCCAGGGTGCATTTCTCACTCTAACAATGCTAAGTAGAGTCGCAGTGAGCTGACAGAATGGCATAGATGTGTACACACTCTGGCAATGGCCAAATATTAAGCAGTTAAGTATTAAATAATAATTAAAAATAAAGTCTTTGTACTTACAAGTCTGCTGCTGTGTACTGAATCCTCCAAAGCCTAATCCAGTTCCTAAACCAGTACCTAAACCAGTACCAGTTCCTGTGCCAAAACCAGTACCAAATCCAAACCCTTTGTTCTGGGTAGCACCAAAAAGCCCTAATGGGACACGTAAAGAAAAATTATGGAGAGAAGCAGAAGACAGGTGAACTGCAAAATAAAACAACTTCTAGAATACCAATGCTAATTTAAATCTAAGTCACCTATGCATGTTTCTATGACTAAAACTGATGGATTCTTACCAGTGGTACCTGTGTTGGTAGGAGCAGAAAAGCTAAATGCTGGTCCAGCTGTGGTGGTTGTTGTCCCAAACCCTCCAAATGCACCTAGGGTATGAGATATACAAATAAACAGAAGGATTTGCCACAAGGTATGAGATCATGATAAACTGCACACACTGATGGATTTTTATGAAGAGAAATGTTCACAGACAGATATGTAGATCACAAGCAAGTGTTTCACACTGATCACAGTTATCAGTTTTTTGACAGTAAGTAGGAGAGAACATGTGGACAAGAAATTTATCTTGTAATGAATGACTTAAGGATATGGAAATTTTTCCTTTAGTTAACAACTTCCTTGGTCATGAAAAAACAAGTGTAATCAGTTCAGGATGTACCTTTTCTATTTCCAGAATATTACAGCTAATACTAACATTAGTTATTTTCATTCTCTAATTTTTAAAAAGCAAAGCAATTTCTGTTGAGCTTTTAATACAAAGCAGCATGCTATTTATGTATTTTCTCATTTAAGAGCAACTATAAACACTCAGATAAGACCAAGCATTCAGCATAACTTGTATAAAGTGGTTGTGCATAACCAGGAACAAACAGAAATATTGTTTTATACTGAATTCTCTTTTTTTCTCATGGTTTGGCAGACCTGTGGCAAAACAAGAGTTCATCAAGTTGGCAAGTGGATGATAACCTAGGTCACAATCCTGCAAGAAGATCTATGAGGATGGATCCCTGTGGAACTCCATATTTCCAGGAGACTGTGCATGGATGCAAGGATCTTCCTGCGTGAATCACAGGGGTAGCATGGTAAGTGCAGAATGGATATATCTGAATAATATAACGAAATAAAGGAAGATACTCAGTTTTTGCTAAGAGCATTAGATGTCATGCAAGTGTATCCCTTAACATGTAAACATGTAAGATAGGTTTAAATTGGCAGCAGGATCTAAAATACCTTCAAAATGAAGATAGTCTCCTCAAATCTCCTTAACTGCAGATATAGCACCACACTATCTAACCAGAACTGCAGAACCAATGCAAGATGGTAATTTAAGAGACTTGATTGGGATCAGACTAATCCAAGAGATCTGGTGAGTAAAATATTAGTAAGATTTCATGCACACAATACGTGCAAAATACAAAGAAAAATGTACTAGGAATCATTCTTATAATCATAAACCAATTACAAGCTAATTTTTTTTGTGTGGTAGAACAGTCCACTTCCATCTCTGAAGTATTTGCAAGAAGTGCAGTCTTTCTTGTTGGGCTTGTCTGTCAAGGGAGTGATCCAGGTCTGTGAGATCCCCGCAGGCTACATTACTTAAATATATGTTACTTAAATATATGCTTATTTTGGAAATTCTCTGGGGCTTTATCTTGAAGGGTTGGCAACACCTGCATGCTACAAAACTTACCGGCTTGTGACATCTAGCAGGTATAGTCTGATGTTTTACTTTTTTGGCTAGAGATCTAAATCAACAGATCCCAGCTGTCTTTAGTCCACAGCAAGTTGGCAAGTCATGAGGTGCAGAATCCTCTCTAGTTTCCAGCTATTTGAGTTCAGGCTCAATATAAAAACGTGTCAAAGCAACTGAAAGCAAGGAAGATAAACCAAAATAGACACCCATTTGTGGCTTCTGCTACACAGAAGAAATAGGTGCTTTCCCACAGGGACTGGAGCTGCCAGCAACAGAATAAGGCAGCTAATCTATGTAGGACAAAGCTAAAGCTGTTGTAAATGTATATGAAGTGAAATATGTATTTAAACTGAAAGTACAAGAGAGAAGGAATGAAGACCATAAGAGTGAGTGCTTAACATTTTTAGTACTATACTGAGCATGGGGACGTAAGATGACAAACAGGAAATGTCTGCAAGACGCTCTTAAGATGTCCAAACAATGGAGGAATGTCATAATTTAAATAATATGAGGCCAGACTGCATGAAGGCTGTCAGGTATTTTCGCATCATGGTATCTGAGATTAGCTGGGATAAAATACAGAAAAAGGCCTTGTGATTTAAGGCATGCTCCCCCCACCTTTTCATATACCAAAATCCCTCAGCAGTCATATCCCACATTGGCACCAATGCCATCACTACCCAAATTATTAAAGTCGCCTTCCATACACACACAGAGTAGCAAAGGTAACAGGATCTCAGGTAACCCTAGGCAGAAGAGCCCATTGAACAGACCATTGATCATAAAGGCACAAAGTAAGGCAACTACTGAAAACAGCATGACAAAACAGCTAGTTTGAAATGACATACTACACATACATATAGGTCAGAAGTACAGGAAGAGTTAAAAAGTATATTTAGAAAAGCAGAATTATAGTCAATTAGCGAAAGCAAGCTTTATAGAGAAATAACAAACAGCATGGGTATACACAAACCATCAAACAGATACAGTTAGTTGGTGCTAATTTGTCAATACAGAAACAAATATTAACATCTTAAAATAGCAATGCATTAGTCATGAATCTATTCAACTTGCCATCCCTAAGCATAAAAATTAAAAAATTATACTGAGTTGTTTTCAACTATGCTTTTGTTTTGCTCTTTCAAAAGATCAGTCTTATGCAACTGGATTTAAAAACAAAAGTTTTCCAGTTCATATGCAAACTCCCATTCTAATAATGTTGTAATTTGACTAAATTAAATTCTCTCTTTAAAATCACCATACAAGTCACAAAATATTAGTAAAATTAGAATATGCATCAAAGGTTTGGCTTGAATTAGTCCAGATTCAACAATAAAATCAAATCAGTAAAACACAGGTGATGGTGCCTCTTTAACCAGCACTGATGAGGCCTCATCTAGGGTACTGGGTCTAGCTTTGATTTTGACATTTTTAAAAGGACATGTAAAAGTTAGAGAGGATCTGGAGGTGTAAAGCAAAAAACGATAAAGGGCTTGGAGAGCAAGCCATATAAGGAGAGGGTGTAATAGGCACTCTGAGCTTGTGGAAAAGACAATTAAGAAGAGACATAATGGCAGTCTGTTTCCAAATACCTGAACAACTGCTATAAAGAGAGAGGACACCTTTTCTCCCTTGCTACAGAGAACAGGACATACCAAACAGCATGAAGTTTCAGCGAAGTAGATTTAGATTGGACATGAGGAAAAACTTGTTCTATTAAAACAGTAAGGCAGTGGAACAGACTGTCTAGGAAAACTGTGGAATCTGTCTTTGGAAGTTTTCAAGAGGAGTTTGGGTAAGCACTGGTTAGAGATGATCTAGGAAGAGTAATGCCTGGAGTGTTCTGTTAAGAGCAACAGCTGGAAGCTCATGAGGCCCTGATCTCTCTCTCACACAGATCATTGAGATAACAAAAGCAGCTCTGCAGGCTAGAGCAAGTGGATATTAGAGAGGACTGCTCAGCAGCAGGAGAAAGGAGGGGAGGTCTGCAACTGGTTTAGTTACAAAAGAAGTTTAAAGGACCCAGAATAAGTTTAGGGAGGAGATAGGATGACAGAAAAGGGAGTTCTGGCTCTCCTGTTACGATGTGTGGAGTTGTGTTTGTTGTCCCCAGGTTGCACAGTCGAATGGAGGGTGTTTGGTTTATCCCATGCTTCTGGGCACCGCTGGGTGTCAGATGGGGCCGGGAAAGAATTTTTTCGTCTCCTTGCTACAGGTGCCAGGAGGGGTCTCCACCTCCCCACCCTGTTTTCTTCATACGCACTGAGTATTGGTTGCAGCCAAGGCTGGGGATTTTGACTGGGACAAAATCCCAGAGGTTCCAGGGTCGTGATCCTCTACTTAGCGTCAAACTGATTGCCACATTTAGTATCAGGAAGGAACTTTATCCCAAAGTCAGACTGGTATGGACACTGAGGGAGTTTGCCTTCTTCTGCAGCGAGGGCTATGCCCCCTGTTGGATCTCAAATGCATTTTACTAACCCCTGGAGCAGCAAGACGCTGACAGCTCTTGTCCCCAAGCTTTACCTATGGCAAGTCAGGGTGCTTTGGGTGTTTTGGAGCATTTTGCTTTGTAGCTGTGCAACAGTGGTTTTAGGAATAAATTAGGCAAGGACTTGTATGGGATGATTTGGATAGGAATGATCTGACCTCAAGCACACGGTTGGACTAGATCAGTGTTTCTCAACCTGTGGGTTGTGACCCAAAAGCAAGACACAAGAATATATAAAAGGATCACACACAAACTTAAAAAATAGATCAAAAAACTTTAAAAAATTGATTCTCCTTTAAGGGAGAAAAACATGGGAAGCCATGACTTTTCCCTTGCAGGCTGGCAGAATTCCAGCCTGTGAAGGGTTGCTTGGAGCCCTATGCCTCACACACCCACCCGCTGCCCCACACACTGGAGGGATGGGACCTTGGGGCAGGGCAGCAGGTTGGGAGTGAAGGGCACTGGGTTGGGACTGGCCACTGATGTTTACAAATGGGTCCTGGACCTGGTACAGAAAAGGTCAAGAACCACTGGAGTAGATGACCTCTAGAGGTCCCTTCCACGCCTTACTTTCCATGATTCTATTAACTTACACTAAATTACATTTAACCAGTTAAATATGATTGTTCAAATGCATAAAACTGACAAAACTACTGTAATACAAACAGTAATGAGACTGTGGAATGGATAGAATTCCTATACGAGCAGCTGTAAAAACCCCAATATCCCAAGGGTTTATTCTTCATAAATGAGAATGGTTAAGAAATACCAGTTATGTGTTTTCAGAAGGGAAGAGTCAAGTTAAGGTAACTACACAGCTGATTATTTCAAATTGACAAAGCTATAAGGGACTGCTGATTCCTGTTGCCACCAAACACCCCCAGAGTATACATTATGCAGAAAAAAAGGCTAGACTGTAATTTCAAGAACAAGCTTGCTTCTGTGCATTCTTTCAACAGTAATTAATAAACAAAGGCTAGCAACAAGAGCTATTAATTTAGTGCTGATCGTATAAAATTTGTTTCTCCACAGAAACTGTTTAAGTGTGATGTGTTAATGATAACCAAGTGAAGTCCAATGAAGAGACATAAGAAAGACGAGAAAACAAGACGGCAGCAGTCCAAGAATCTAAGGCAAAGAAATATGACTTTACAGATCAGCTCTGCAATTATTTATTGTTA